GGAAATAGCCAGAAACATCACAACAGAAAACATGTATGCCTGTCTTCAGCTTCTAACTGACTGAACACCTTGAGGGGAGCTAGAAATTTCCCAGACCCAAATGGTGGGGTGAACTAGAAAGGCAACAAGTGACTGGCTTACAAGCTTTCCAGAGGGAGCCTGGTTTCAGACAGGGCAGGGGTAAGCAGAACCTCCATTGAATAATTTCCAATCTGTTGGGACCGGGCTGATGAAAGGAAATGGGGATAAGGCTCTTGTGGTACAACAGTGAGTTGTACAACCTGCTACCAGGACTGAGTGTGAGGGTCGGAAATGCAGAGGCAGATTTTTTTTTCCTTATTTATTTATATTTTTTTGGCAAAAGGAAGCGATTGGTTGATTTTGCAGCCCAGGAGCTGGGACCATCAATTGAGAAGAGCGGAAAGTATGACCCTACCAGATAGGAAGTGAGGCCAGGCATGGAGACAGAGATGGTGGCGTGGACAGATGGAGTGGCTGAGGACACGGGACTCAGGGAGGGAGAGGAGCTGTTTGCTGACAGCCAGGGGGTGGGCCTGTGGAGTGTATCCTTTGGTTATTTGATGATGCTTGGAGGGGATTGTAATCATTGCAATGAAATGAAATACAATATGATGAATGTGAAGCTGAAGTGGGATAGAGGCAAATAATGATGTATGCACAACCTTGGAACAACAGGGCTATGGGATAAAGAGATTGATACATGGTTGGAATGGGGAAAAAAGGGGAATAATGTTATGATGCTTGGCTGTCTTTTGAATCTTGGTTTCCCTGGCATACCACTATAAAATAGACACTGGAGGGGGAGAGAAAGGAATAGCCAGAAATATCACCATAGAAAGTTTGTAAGTCCTTCTTCTGCTTACAACTGATTGGGATACCTAAAATGGGGCTACAATGTGCCCAGTGAAAGAGGCTTCCTGAGGAGCTTCTGCATTACACAAGACTGTAAGTGGAATCCTGAACAGTATCCAGAATCTTCTGAGGGGAAATTTCCACTTGAAAGGAAAAGCAGACCAGCCTGGCATGGCCAGAAGATACTTCTTGAAAGAAAAAAAAAGACTGACCAGAAAAATGCAAAACAGTATAGGCAGTCTGACTGATTACTATAAGAACAAGCAAGTTGTTCGCCCAGGAGACATCAAGGCAAGTAGTCGGGTCCCCTCAGGGCAACCTCCTTC